CTGGCTGACCTGCGAACAGCACTGGTTTTCTGACAAACAGAGCATGAGGCACAGTATGTGAGCACGTCAGTATACATGGAAGGCCAAAAGAAACAGGAACTGAGTCTTTGGTATGTTTTCTGGTGTGCAAAATGTCCAGACCATGGTATAGTATGGGCAAGGTGTAACACAAGAGACCTACAACACTTAGGGACGACAAGACGTGTAACATCATCAGACTTCACATACAAAATACTATTCTGCACAACATACGTTTCAGCCCCAAGAGTTTGTACTCTGCCCTCACATGGTTTAGCAAACAACGGCTTTAATGTAACATCGGCCATCTGTAACTAGGGATGCACCGAATGTTCGGCAACCGAAATTCGGCCAAATAAGTGAAAAGAGACAGTATATAAGCGACTAATATAAGCATTGATGTCATTCTTCTTACAAATTAAAAGTACATTAGATATTATGGGAAGTGTTGCCAGTTCTGCTTACCCTAATTGATGCAGCATAAAAATTCCTTTAAGGGATTTGAATTATAGAAATGTGATAGTGTGTCATGTGTATGCAGGGTTAAAGAGATGGGACTTTTAAACTCACAGTGTGCCTGCCTCCTGAAAATCGGTATGATCTGCCAGTTGGAGTCACCTCTTTATGGTCCCCTTGACCTCCATTTCAGCAGCATTAGCCTGAAGGTTTTTCCAAATTGCAGCCTTGAAATATAGGAATATTTATATAAATATATTGTAAGGTAATTGATAAATCTTAAGATTAGGACCAGACCCAGAATTCGTACCTTATATGTTTGATTCATGTTCATGCAGGAGTTCATGCAGCAGTTCAGAATTTCTGTAAAAAAAAAAAAAAAATGTCAGATTATAAAGTGCATTCAGTCAGATTAAATTTTTAAATGTGTTTGCTCATAATAATCCCCACAGCAGTAAAATGTGTTAAGTATGATTTTAATCACATTATACGGCATATACCTATGCTTTAAAAGTTTTCGTTCACTCTAAAAATGTGAGCCTGCTCTAGTCCAGACAGATTAGGCCTCCATTCAAGAACAAAAGACAATGCACTTACATTTTTCTGACGTTATGTTATCATCGCAAATATATATATATATATATATATATATATACATATAGTAATCGGTGTTATGTTTCATCTGCAACAACAGTGTGAACTTTCATAAACATTTGTTAACTTTTAAATGTATCATTATGCCAAAAAAAAGAAGAAAAAAAAAACAGAGTTCTCCGCATGAAAGACCCACGACTTGCAGATCAACGTGCTATTTATTTTCTCTGCGATACGGTAGTAAGTTAAACTAAATGAAATGTGGAGGATTTTAACTGTGACAAGATGATTGACAGGTCAGTTTACAGTAACAGGATGCGATAGTACGTCCCAAAGCTTGCCGACTCTTCTGTTAAATACCCAAAAGTGTGTAGGCAAATTAGTGCGTTGCAGCTCCCCCAAGAGGCAGCTGAGTTACCTGCGGCTTTCCCAGAGGTGACCGATCTCATAGACCCCAAGTGTGCCCATACAAACGATCATCCCATTGAAATCTCCCCGCCCCCCAAAAAAAATCTTAAACAAATACATTAAAAACGTGAACTGGGACTACTGCATACATCTTTGTGTTGAATTAATCTAATAACTAATAAGATTTATCTTAATGACCCATGAGTTACCTCTTTCTGATGAGCTGCACTGAATGAAATCAGACAGTTTTGCAATCTGGGTAACAGCTAGTCTGAAAAAGGTTTTCCAAATTCTCCATCCATCATGGCTGAATGTGGTTGTTATTTAATAATCCTCATAAGACCGATTCACATAAATATGTTAGGCCAAATTGCAGTCAATATGTATTTTTAATTTTGGTCAGAATGACTCCAGTCTGATTTCAGATTCTGAAAGTTCTGTTTATATGAATCCTAAACATTGCAATCCGACTCACATATTTGTTTACATGTGCATTACATGTATTCTGAACAAAACTTTAGCACATGTGCAGTGCGTTCAGAACCGATACTGATTAACAAGTAATTAAAGTTTTGTTCCTTATTATTGTTACATGCTTTAACGTGCTGACTGAATGAACTAAAATAATAATAGAAGGAAAGTTACAGAATAAAAGGCACTCAGGAATCACATGAACACATTTTTGAACTCTTCCTAATTAAACACACCTGATTCAGCTCATTAGTAATGACTCCAAGACCAGGGGCAAGTTCAAGCTCAAACCGGTGCGCAACTTTTTGCTACGGTTTCCGGTTTGAACGACATGTTTCCTGGAAACGGTGTGCAACGGGGTTTGAGATGTGTTTTCTCTTGTTTGGTGGGTGTGTCAAACAGCCCAATCAGCAGCAACATGTATATAAACCACGCGGTATTAAAGAGACAGCTCTCTGGTCCATCCTTTCCTTAGAAAGGTGTGCTAGACACTGATTAATGTAACATAAAAAATACTATACATATTTATATATTTTGCTATTGTATTGTGGAGTGACATTTTCAAAACCCTTTCTATATTCCTCTGATCTTATATAATGGTAAATACTACAATAACATAGCACAACAACAGTGATCAGCAATAATGATAAGCCTAATACTCACAATAAAAATAATAAGGTTATATAGATCATAACACAGTCTTGGAGGTAAGAAGTGGATTATCCTTCACCTGAAATGTTTGTCTTTTCATCCTGAAAAACGAGGCAAATGTTGGATCACAATAATTAGGAACCACAGTTTGCACAAATCCCTTCACTCTATTGGGATGTTCTCTTTTAATCTGGACGGCAAGGGCAGTGACTGTTACATCCAGCGTATTTTGCAGTATTAAACACGTATTTATATCGATTTCATCAGGCTCCGAAAATTCTTCAAAAAGAACACAAAGAATGGCCTTCTCAGCTGCCATAGTTGCAACTCTTGCATCATCAGAACAGTGTTCAACGCACCACCGTTTAAAAAACGTTTTGCACCGTTTTGTCATGGCTGAACGCAGCCCAGAAATAGATGGGTCAGGCTGTGTCTATTTGATAATGAATCTTTTTTTGCATGTTTTGACCTTCTCTCCACACTTAGATGCCGTTTTTGTCGAAGATGCTCACCCAAGTGGATAAATTTGAAAATGTTTTTAGTGTTTTAGAGTGGACTGTGAAAACAGATGTATTTGAAAACGATGATAAATGTTTAGTCATGTGACACATATTGTAACGATAGATATTGTTATGTATAATACTGCCTGCTTTGTGCTATTCATTTTTTTTTCTTGTGAAGATAAATGCTACTGTTTTGTGGCAAAACTTGAGGGCAATTGTGTTTTAGACCATACATGGAATGGTGATTGAGTGCTACCTGGACACACCAGTGAGTGGTGGGATATTTTGCTAAAAAAAAAAATAACTGTGGCGGAAGAATAGCATGAGAACTTTATTATCTCTTGTCTCTCTGTATCATCTCCTTGAGCTTTAATTACATTTTATATGTGCAGCAAGGTGATTTTAGTGTTTTCTGATGTTTCAGTGGATGAGAAATTTCTTGGAAAAAGCTTCAAAATGCTGGAGAGAGAGCGTTTTGAAACAAAAACAACGTTTTCGAATGTATCTGGATTAGATAGCCTCAGATAAGGGACACATCCGAAATGTATACTGTTGGCCTCTTATCGCAATGAAACAACTATTTTTAGTTCACAATATTATACCTAAGTTACGTGGACAACAGAGGATTCAGTAGAACTCACAACAGTGAAAGTAATCATTTTTTGGGGGGCTTTTCACACTTGAAATTGTTAACCCTGGGTCTTTGTAAAACCTGGGTAAATGGAATCCAGCGTTATCTTGATTCACACTGCTCACAATTTAATTACCTGGGGTTAACAATTAATCCTGCATATTCATAAACTGACGATTCACACTGTACATTCCTAAACACTGTGTTAATGTTCTTCTTTGCGTTTTGCGGGGTCAGTGTCAAAAATTGGGCAAATACAGCATGCAGTCTCTTCTTTACTCCCATTGTCTGTTGCTAAGCATCTATAGCCATAACATTCTAACACTGCATTCACACTGACACTGCAATCTGGAGCAGGTTTTCATAAACCCCGGGTAAAAAGCGAAATTACAAGTGTAAAAAGGATTAAAAGCAGGGTTTGAAACTACAATAATCTAGGGCTAAGTGCAGTGTGAAAAGACCCTTTGAGTGCAACTGTGTATGAAATGGCCTCCAAAGGCCACTCCTACATACTGTAGGATGGTCGGGGATAGGCTACTGCTACCTGGTTGGCCCCTATCTCTAATACAACCCTACACTTAACCCTAACTATACTCACTTTGCTGAATGGCTTGCTCTTTCACTGACAAATCAGGTGGAGGTTTCATTATGATTATCAATGTGAATCCCCATCGACAGAATTTCCTCAGAAATTCTTCCCATGGGCAGCTGTTTTCAGACATGCAAGTACAGCTCCTACTTAAGTGGGATCAAGAGACACGATTCCAAGAAATAATTCCAATGTGTTAAGTAATACTTTGTTACTTCACTTGTTTTTTTTTTTAATGTAAATATAAATTTGGCTGAAAACACAAAACCTCTGAACATAACAGGGATAAAGTACGTTAAAACGATATAAATGAAGTAAATGTTTCTTTTCTCATTACATATATAAAGTTGTAAACTGCTTAAGCCCCACCCCACTGAATAATACAGCACTACCTAAAAGCAGGAAGTACATTAGTGGATCATCCATCCACACCACATGCAGCCGAAACAGAAAAACAAAGCCTACAAAATTATATTTTGGGCAGATGTGGATTTTTTGATGTAGTGCTGAGGCTAGCAGCCGAAACCTGTAATCTACATATCGCGTGGACGCGTTTGGGCAAACAAGTACGTCTCTCTCTCTCTTTCTCTCTCTGTCTGTGTGTGTGTGTGTGTGTTTGTGTTTGTGTTTGTGTGTCTGTTCGTCAAATCACGACATCTTATACGGTGCCGTTACGCGTTTGGGCAAACAAGTACGTCTCTCTCTCTCTTTCTCTCTCTGTGTGTGTGTGTGTTTGTGTGTCTGTCTGTTCGTCAAATCACGACATCTTATACGGTGCCGTCGCCTTTGCTTGAAATATGCTCTATTTCTGCTCAGTTTGTTTCCTAGCTGAGCAGAAGCTATAGTTCTATTTCTGTCATGACTGAACTTATTTATTATGTAACCTGTCGCGGTTCGGTTGCATATCGCGGCCACCTTTGCAACTTCTGTGCCAGATGTAGATGTGATGGACGCATTTAACGTACGTTAGCAGCTGCCTTTTCTGTCACTGTTAACGTTACTCGCTCATTAAAACAGATTGCACGGTTTTCAGTACAGTTCAGCGTGACGTTCATGTTAACAATGAGTATTTGTTTCTCCGTGTAGCCAGAGGCCCCCGATTTGTAGCAAAAATATCTTGGTGATGTCATCGTTTTATTTGCATATACTAAGTTACACTAAACTTAAGCGAGTGTCGAGCAGATGCGAGGAGATAACCTTCCAGCGGTTGCAATGTGTTTTCAATTTTAATTATAATCTTTTTAGTACTTATGTCGTGCTAACAGTAGAACACATTACAGATTACTAACAGGAAGACATACGCTATGAATTTTCTTTTCATCGAGTGCCCTCGAAGTGTTAACCGTATTTGCACAATTCAAGATGTAAAAGCTTCACGCTTTTCAAGCTTTAAGGCTCCATTATAATCGCATAATGCTGTAGACAGTCTTTCAGGTGAAAACACGACCGTGAACTATCAATTTCCGCGTTTGCGGCTGTTGTTCAGATGAAAACTAATGTGGGCGACGTACAGAGACGTATTTTCGTCGAGAGGAAAGCGGTGTTGGGAAACCAAAGGCGGCGTCCCACAGCTGATTCAAAACAACTCGATTATGATCGAGGGTGTCTCACCTGCCGACTGTTTTGGTGAAATCTCGCCCTCTTCTGACGGAGGTCCGATCAAATACAGATTGAAACAGCCTCATCTCTCGAATCCCCATCACGTGAAAGGTCTCCGAAATATCACACACGTATGCATTACACAATCCTTAGTATTGAACTATACGGTCCCACAGGAAAAGTCACTCCAAAGAAGTGCTGCAGGCACCGGTAATGAACTCTCAAAGTGAAGACCGATGCCACTCAGCTTTAGCTGAAAATCAACTGCAAATAAAATCACAAATTAAATCTCATTATCTCAGTTGTTATTTAGAACTTTAGCTCTATTTAATAATTATGTTTTATTTAAGATGTTTGAATTTGGTGATTAGCAGATGTGCCATAATGAACATTAATGGCATATACAGTGAAGTGACATGTGGCCAAGTATGGTGACCCATCCACACCATGCTCTGCATTTAACCCATCCAAAGTGCACACACACAGCAGTGAACACACACCCGGAGCAGTGGGCAGCCATTTAGTTGGGGGTTCGGTTTGCTCAAGGGCACCTCAGTCGTGGTATTGAATGTGGGAGAGAGCGCTGTTAGCTTCTTTTCATTCAACCGGTTAAAAAACACTTGTGTATGCTGTGTAGAAGTATTGGGGCTTCCAAAAAATTCAAAGGGACTGTTTGTCGACGTTAAGACAGTAAGGCCTGTTTAAACCAACACATAATTTGGCACAAATTTTTGGCCCAATTTCGCATGCGATTATGTCTGTTAGACTATTGGTTCCTTTCTGGTGCCCCATCAGAGATAATCAACACCAAAGTGAGGGAAACTGTAAAAAGTTGTGCTCTTTCACACTTTCTTGCCCCCATAAAAATAAATAAATAAATAAACACTTGTTCTGCGTTCGCACTATACTCGGTACTCCCTAAAAACATTATGGCTGAGAGTCGAATCCTTCCCATTATAAGTTCACCCTGAAAGTGGGACTTAGAGCAATCTTGCTCATTACATTTGGACTTTAAGTCTAAGGAACTGTTTATATATGTAGGCCTACATGTACTTTGTGATGAGCTAAGAGCATCGCCTTTCCGCAAACATCTGTAGAACCCAAACTTTGTTGTATGCAGTGACAAAGATGTGGTTAAACCAATGTTAAAAAACAACTTTGCAATACCAATATCTTAAGGTAATCACTCCAATAAATGAGAACAAATAAAAATTGACTGTTTTTACTTCTGTGTCTTCTGTGAGAATGTATCATCTTTGCAGACCACAACAGCTGTGATGAGTTTGTAACTAGACTCCAGGAAAATTAAGGAAAAAATTAAAGATTTTAAACAACTCGATGGTGGTTGGGGGAGTGTCTCACCTGCCAGCTGTTTTTGATGAATTCTTGCTTTCTGTGGATGGTCAGTTTCACACACACCTTTTAAAAATGGCAGAGGAATGACAGAACGACTGCCTCTGGAGCATAAATCCATGCATAGATTCAGTGAGACAAGAAATTCAACAAACACAGACTGTTCTTCCTCCCCTGTTTATGCTTTAGTCATTCTAGTGGGTGAGCAGACTTTCTCATGGGCAGACAGATGGCAGACAAATAATTTTGAATAATAATATATTTTCTTATTTTTTGAATTGTATTCAATAATAATAGTATGAGTAAAGTGTGTCATGACAAACTTTGATGTTGGCTTGAAACAGCCGGTCCTGAAGATGAAAATGATTTTAAAATCTTGAAGTCGAAAATTTTAGGTTATAGATACATTTGATACATTCTCATTATAAAAACTCTTAAAACTGCATTCTGTGTCATTACAACAGTAGTATTTTGAAAATTATAGTAGGTTTTTTCCATTCCCAAAACTTTTCTATTTTTTTCCATTCCATTCCCATTTGCTGGGAGAAATGCTGTCTGTCTAGAACACGCAGAGACATGCGGAGTGACATGTTACAAATGGTGAACAGTCCCAGTTCTGATGCTGGTGATATATCAGCACTCTTGTAAGGTTTCTTAGCCAGTCAGATTTTTTAATTTTATCGTCTTAAATCTTTTTTTATTATTATTATATATTTTTTTTCTTTTTTTTTTATATATCTTATTATATTTGTTTTGATCACTGAATGAGGAAAACATTTTGGGGTCCATTACGTACATTCAGAATATTCTTTTTGCCAAACATTTGCAGTAAATATTCATACTAGGTGCAGGGTCGTGAGGGGCCAATTAAAGGGATAATTCACCCAAAAATTCAAATTCTGTCATCATTTACTCACCCTCATGTCATTCCAAACTGTTACAACTATCTTTCTTACAAAATTTTCTAGGCGCTCTTGATCCTTGATTCATCTCATTTCATAGTTCTGGGATTATTATTGTTGTTGAATTTCTAAGGCTAAGGAGTTGTCAGAAGATATGAAACAAATCTATTACAGCAAAAGGATACAAAAGAGTTTGGATTTCCCAGAGGGCACTGTTGTTTCAACTATGAAGTGGAAACTATATCAGAATTGGAAGCTTTATCTGAGTGCACAGATGCTGTGTAGAGAGCTTTGAGGGATCAACATTTCTTGCCAAACAAGAATGTGACATAATACAGAGCTGCCCAGGATAACTTTGAAAGAGTTCCTGTCTTAAGTAGATAAGAACAGAGAAAAGTGAACCTGATGCCTGTATAGGAGGGTGGCATTAAAGACTATACCATAGTACATTATTCCAAAACAAATATTTAGTTTATCTCGACTGGCTAAACCTGAACCTCATTGCTAGCTATTAAAAGTTTTAACAAAGTGTGTTTAATTAATCAAGTAGTTGTCTTTTAATTAGTCTGAATTAACAAGTTACATTTTTTAGTGTTTGTTTTTTGTAGCACAAACTCTTCTCAAATACCAAATATCAGTTTGATTATATGAAGTAATTGTTTGCCTTTCTACTTATTAAAAACATTCCTTTCTCTATTTTGTCTCAGGAGCATGGGGCAGCATCTTGGAAAACGTGAGCTTTCTGTTCCCAAGGTATGTATGTCTGTCTGTCTGTCTGTCTGTTAGTCTATATGTATATATATGCATGTATTTATTTATTTATCAGCTAACATTTAATAATAGGTCAAATAAGTGATTTTTTTACAGTTATAAATTTAGGTAGTAGCAGTTTTTGTTTTGTTTTTCTATTAAAATCTTTTGATAGTCATAGAGTTGCTCAGATTAAATCGGGTGCCTTGCATTATGTTACAGTAATTTAACCTTCATCCTGGGGAAAAGTAAGTACACCATTTGTGATTGTCGCTACTTCATGTTAGAATCAGTAATTGCAGACAGGTTGACAAAATTCAAGGGATGATTCAAGATGGCGGCGCGTTCACACGCTGCGGCTTCTCTCTCTCCCGACAGAAAGGTGTTTTCGTGTTTTTTGCATTCACACAGAGAATGTGCTGTACATGTGGAAGAATTGACAATAAAGCAGACTTGACTTGACTTGACTTGAAAATCAAGCAAATCAAAATTGCATTCACCATCCTGGATGCATAGTCTGGTCTCAACACGTGTCTCGGTGAGAAATCAATCCTAAATGCTGTTTCTGATATCCATGCTGATAAACATCCTATAAAGTCTAACAAGCAAAACAATGTTTCAAAAATGCAAGAAGCAGCTAATCAAAGGACAACCATTTACACCATTAATGCTGTTTGGGGAAATATCCATTAAGGCAAGAGATAAGCATCTTCAGAAATGAAGAAATTAGGAGCTGCAAACCCTAAAATCAAGCCAAGCCATATCATTACATAGTCTCTAAGGTGCTACAGTATGTGTGGGCTACTGTCCCACAGTGAGTGTTTTGTTAGATCCCAGTGCAACAGAAGCTACATGCTGCCCTCTAGTTGATAATCATGGATTACAGAAATTACTTGAAATGACCAACTTCTTGGTAGTAAATGTCCTGTTACCGTGAGATAATCACTCCCTGTATATCAGCTGATAGGCCAGGATGGAGAATGATGTTTAGAGAAATATTGCATTTACATTTAAAGTCTTGCTGTGTTTCAGAACTGCTGCTTGCCCTCATCTGTTTATCACATGTTCCATCAATACCATGATGCAGCACTTGGTATTAGCATGTCTTGGGTGACCAATCCCAAGTGATCATATGCAAATGATGCATAAATGGCATCTGTTTTAAATACAGTTTAACATACATACCAAAAGCGTAATTTAAGTACTGTTTCACACTATTAATAAGAGGTCTTTTGATCAAATCCCAGAAGAATACATTTTCTCAACCAGATTTTTATGATGTCACTAGCCAGGTTTGAATACACGTATTTTTATGCAGATTTTTATATTGAAACTCCAAGGTATGAATAGATCTGGCAACTTCAGGAATCAAATTAAATTCAAAAATGTGCATTTGTGTATATGTTGACTTGAAGTGTGTATATTTTTTATTTGGTAAGAAGATGCATGCATAAACTACAGTGGAAGCATGTCCAATTCCTAGATGATGCCTTTGCTTCAAGAAGTCATGTAACTAATTAATATGCTCAGAGATGAAAAGAAACCATGTTTCTCTGGTGAATCTGAAATGCTGGAGCCAAAATAATTGGCACATTTTTATTTATTTATTTTTATTACATTGGATTAAAGAGCAACAGTGGTTTCCCCATTGGCTGCAACTTCCATTTTGTTTCATGGCTGTTTGAGTTCATAGATCTGCACTGTTGTCTACGCATCTGTTTATCTCCTGTTATATGGTTTAGCAAATTTATTTTGTTCATTTTTAGATCACTAGATTCCTTTATGGGTAATGACCTTTTACATAACGTATGTAATCATTTATCTTTCATTAGATGCTTCAAGCAATCAAGCTTTATAACATTCATGGATGCAAAGCTACTGCAGACATCTTTTTTTTTTTGTATTATTATTATTATTATTATTATGCTGGTGGAGTATCTTAAGTTACAAAGATGACGATTCAAAGCTGTTGTGATCTACACCAAGGCTACAGCATAGGTGTGACACAGAAGTGTAAATTGCCCTTAACCTGTTTATTGGATTATACCACTGGAAAATACCACTTTTAGGTTTTAGTCATTTTTATTATTAAATATCTGGTCTCATTTCACTTCAGAAAGCTACAGAAGGAAAAGGAAACTTGTGTACAAATGTACAGTGCTTGAATATTTAGGTTTTATTAATACAACATTATTTCTAAAAATGAAGCATTGATTATTTCTTGCAATGTAATTACAATTTGTGTTTTATTTAAGCATTATTTGGTTGTACATGTAAAACTTTGTATTTGTATTTTTGAAGGAATCCTCAACCGTATCTGAACACATCCCAACAGACTCACCGGAGTCACAAGATGAGGTATTTGGTAAGAACATATTTTTGTGTTATTTGTATAAGTTTTGCCTGTATATCTACTATTCTGTGATTACTGGTTCACCCATCATTGCCCAGCTTCTTATAGCAGATCAATATAGCAAGGTCACTCTAATAGACTCTCTACAAAAGGAGAACAACAAGCTCTGATCTGACAGGATGGCTTTACGCAACTTCCCAGAGTAAAGGACACCCAGGTTATGAGTCCATCTGGAAACCAAATTGTGTTTACAATGTACTGAATTGATAATAATAAGCACTAGTCACTGGATTTGATGATGTGGCAAATCAAAGATGTAGGCCTACTCTAGTTTTGTCTTGTAATCCAGTTTTGTTTTAGACAGTAAGTAGGAAGGAAACTAGATACCCTAGATGTATTTATTACTTTTAGGGAAAAGAAATGAACATGCAGAAACACGCATGCAGAAGTCTATTATTTTCCTACTACCATTCATAGCCATTATATAAGTTAGTGTACAAATGGTGTGAAAAGTAGGAAGTGTATAGGTGTGGGCAGCAGTAGGTACTGAAAAGTTGTTCCACATCATATATCATCATCACCAATAACATATATGTGACCCTGGAGGGCGATTTTCTCAGTATTTAGATTTTTTTTGCACCCTCAGATTTCAGATTTTCAAATAGTAGCCAAATATTGTCCTATCCTAACAAACCATACATCGACGGAAAGCATATTTATTCAGCTTTCATATGATGTATAAATCTCAATTTCGAAAAATTGAGTGCTTCACTGAAAGATACGCATGACAATTGCAGCTTCTGTCAAATCGCGATCTCGATTCCATTTCGATTTATCGTGCAGCCCTATCCAGGGTCACATATTGGATTGCTTGACAGGTATAATACGAATGTTTATCTTCACTTTAAATTAGGCTGCTTAAAAACATTTACAATTTTTTTCTCTGCATGTGTGTTTTTGAGTGAGTAAGCAGAGTAAGCAGTGGTGTTTCTACTGCATGTTTAAGGTTGTTGGAGCTAACACCAGCTGGCACAGGCTCCAGAGAGACTACAGGCTTCTGCGTCCATATTCAAAAGCTCATATTGTTCAGAAAGCTAGTCTGTCACTGCCTCACTGTTCACTGCCTAAACGTCATTGTTCTCGTTCTCTCGCTCTGTGTGGAAATGATTTTATTATCTACTCGTCTACTAGTCCAGCGGTTCTAACTACAAACTATTTTAAACACCATTTTTCTTGTTTGAAAAATAAACATGCGTTTTTTTTTTATTGAATTTTTTTAATGAGATTACATTGACAAATTGCATGGGAACTACATCAAAAACATTTGTGAGTTTAACTGGGGGAAAAATACTAAAAGATGATGGAACACTAAAGAAATGGTGGCCTGGTTACAGCACCTACAATATATATTTTCTCTTATACTTTTATGTACATTTTAATTGCAAATATTAATGTAAAAAAAAAAGTTAATGTTCATATTTGTTAGTTGCCCTGGAGTTTAATGTTTTTTTCCCATATAGAATCAACATATATAGAACCCAGATATTTGTCGAAGTTTTTCTGTTTACATTTTATTCCTTTAAAATGCCTTAATTCCTGTAATCATATTGTATTTCATTTGATGTTCATTAGTCTAAACTTGTATAAGTTTATAGCAATTGATTGTTCCAAGCTCAAATTTCCTAATTGCTGTTTAAGTGGAAAAACAATGTCCAAATAGTAACTTTTATTTTAAATTTTAATTCTTCTGGAACAAATTATTGAGTCCAATATTTTTTTTCCTTATTAGAACTGCAGTAGAAAGAGTTTTAAATAAGAGTATAGTAATTCTCTCAGCTCAGATTACATGTTTTACCATATTTAAATCCAGCACAGAATCAGTGCAGACAGTGTGAATATGTTGTGTTTGTAATCACAAGTTAACACTGATTTACATTTGACAAGCTGAAATATTTGTGAACATGCAAAAAAATTCAGTTAAAAACCTCATGTTATTTGTGATCGACACAACAAAACTGTTTCTCTTCCAAACTTGATGTGCAATAGCTACTAGATAAAATTATCAAGGGCAAATATTAACTAGTCAGGTATGTACGATAGAACTCGAAGTTTGCTGTAGAAATGACTGAAATTGTACTTCCCAGAATACTTAGCATGGTACATAATGTTGTTCCACAAAGCCGTTTGCACCGCACTCTTTTGTCACTTGATATTATATTTTGGTGCGTCAATCTATTAAATTACTTAGTATATGAAACCATGATCCGTACTCACAAAAATAGTCTTCTTTTAATGTTTTATTTTGCATTAATAACCAGCAGGACAAAACACAAATGTTTCGGCTCAAGGCCTTCTTCAGTGTGTTGAATAAATCAAACCCTCCACCCACTTTTTATATCATTAATTATATTGACATCATCATTCATTAGCCAATATTGAGTCTATGAAAACACATATATTCCATTTAAATGCTTGACAATTTTTATTTATATACAGCACAAATTTTCACATCCACCAATACACTGCACAATACATCCTTGGCCATAACATGAACCACAAAGGATCCCGTATTTATAAAAATTTCACAATTAAACAGTTTATTAAATATTTTAATAATTAGACAATCACCCGAATTAAAGATCAAAATACATAACAATGGAATGTAAAATGATTAAAGTCATCAGAAATACATCATCATAAATAATCATAGATGACTCTCCACAAAATATTAAAATGAATTCGACCAATTATAACTCATTAAAGGAAAACAGAACGATCTAATTCCTCATTCATGCCATTTGGAGCCAATGATTTGAGTTTATAGATCCAAAATGCTTCTCGCTTTAATAGTTCTTTGTTCATATTACCTCCTCTACATGACCCTAAAACTTCCTCTATACTGATACATTCCAATTGTTTGATGTCATGTCCCAGCTCGTTGAAATGTCTAGCTTACTGGAGTAGTTATGTCTTGTCGGCTAATACTTGATGTATGTTCATTGATTCATAATTTCAACTGACATGATTAATTTTCTATTTTTATTTATTATTATTTCACGTTTATTTGACAGAGATAATCCACATCAATAATATATAAATGTACAATGTTTCAGAATTAACCAGTCCTGGACTGATGGGAAAATTGGCACCCTAAACATATAAAAGAAATAATATATACAAATTTCAATATATATCTTTTATATATTGGGACAAGGACATTTGATCATATAGACCACATTACGAGTTGAGCAGGTGTTGAGAGTAAAAATGTTGAAATTAAGTATTATTTAGTGTTTGAGCAAGATGATTAAAGAGGGAGAACTGTGTCAGTTACAATTGATTCATAATTTCAACTGACATGATTAATTTTCTATTTTTATTTATTATTATTTCACGTTTATTTGACAGAGATAATCCACATCAATAATATATAAATGTACAATGTTTCAGAATTAACCAGTCCTGGACTGATGGGAAAATTGGCACCCTAAACATATAAAAGAAATAATATATACAAATTTCAATATATATCTTTTATATATTGGGACAAGGACATTTGAACATATAGACCACATTACGAGTTGAGCAGGTGTTGAGAGTAAAAATGTTGAAATTAAGTATTATTTTGTATTTGAGCAAGATGATTAAAGAGGGAGAACTGTGTCAGTTACACAGGGTTACCATTGTGGTGCTTTTAAATATAAAAAAAAAAAAAAAAAGTGATGTGGCCAAGTGGAGTATGGTGTCCCATACTCAGAATTTGTGCTCTGCATTTAACCCATCCAAATGCACACACACACCTGCGACACCCAGAGAGCAATTGGAAGTTCAGTGCCTTGCTCAAGGGCACCTCAGTGGTTGTTACTGAAGGTGGAAGAGAGCACTGTATATTCAGTCCCCTCACCTACAACTCCTGCTGATACTGAGACTCGAACCCGCAACCTTCAGGTTACAAGTCCAACTCTCTAACCATTAGGCCACGACTGTTTTACATAATTTTACATAATCATTTACCGTGTTAATATGTGCTTTTGCTAGCTAATTGTTCATTTGCTAGCAAAAACAATCTTTTAATTAACTGATATGACAAAAATATATAATAGCAAGTCCAACTCTCTAACCATTAGGCCACGACTGTTTTACATAATTAATCTTTTAATTAACTGATATGACAAAAATATATAATACACTCTTGTCAGGAAAATCAAAATAACTTTGACACTGCTTAAGTCACTTAAAAATAACTTCATTCCATTATGTTAAAGTGATGCTAACAAATTATGTTTGTGTAACTGATTCATGAGCAATCAGTGTACATGATTAAATCACTTTTTTTCTAGTGTTGTGCAGTGTGCAAAAATGTTAACTTTCAAATTATTTTCTTAAAGCAGCACTATGTAACTTTTGGCGCTCCAGCGGTTAATAAACAGAACTGCACACATCCCGCGGAAGAACATTCTGACCGGAGCTACTTCTCTAAGTTTATGTCTATGGCGATTCACGCAGGTATGTGTTACTCCGCAGCGGTGACGACCCGACCAGGCTACAATAGTCCAAATATAAGTACTTATTATAAGTGTACCGTAGTGATTCGGAATAAGACAAAAACGCGGTTTGGAAGATGAATTCATGATGTACTATTATATACATTTTGCAAATTTTGAACACAGAAAAAGTTATATAGTGCTGCTTTAATGTAGAAAGAAAGCAAATGCAAAAATGCCAGAATGTCTTTCTTGCCAAAGCCTGTTAGAAGCCAGAAATGATGAAGGAATAGAGGTTATGTTATGTATTACATAATTTTAACAACTGACAACAAACAATATTTCCTCACTTGGAAGAATAAGAATAGACCCAGAGGCGTACAATCGTCAGTCGCAGGTTCACATATTTCTGTCATTTCGAATTTTCATAAAATAAAGGAATTCCTTTAGGCTGTTGGTCCAAGTTGCATAACAATTGGTATTCATCAATTTGAGACTGTCATGACAAAAAGTTTTCAGAAATTTATC